ATGATTAGGAATACATGTATAGTTTTTGTCATGTCCGTCCTCCACCCTTCCATCTTTCTTTCCATTGGGCTCAAAGAAGCTTTCTAGATATTTTTATCAAAGTTCATATGTTGATGCACACTGATGTAAATATCCAACTGCAGCAATATTTTTTGACTTTGACTTTTCCTTTGACCTTCACGTAACTTTTCTTTAAAGAGGCTGGGTGGTTGCGGCCATTTTTAGACTATTTTGATCTCCTTTAGAAGAAGAGCTCCATATAAAGGTATAATAAAAATGATAAAATGATCAAATTTTAAAACTAAAATTTAAGTAAAAAAAATTTTTTGCCAAATGATAGTTGACGGCTTAAGATATCATATCCCCAAATTTAAGTTATAACCGGTGGTTAATAAAAAAATAATTTGTTGACCCCCTAGCCTCCTTAAATTACTGTTTAGCTTTATTTCAAGTTGTGTAATGAAACTTTACATGATGATACATACTTATGTAAGCTTTACAATACTTCACTCTTTTTTACCTTGACCTTTCCTGTGACCTTGACCTCACTTTTCTAAAATTAATGTCTAAATCAGTTTTGAGTAAACAATTCAAAATATATTTATCAAACTTCATATGCTGATACATACTGCTTGAGAGCTATTAATACATCAACTTATTTTGACTTTGAATTTTCCTTTGACCTTGACCTCACTTTTTAAATTTGTGTTTATCTAAGTTTTAAATAAACCATTAATTATAGTTTTATCAAACTTCATATGCTAATAGTAAATTCATACTGATGTAAGCTTTTCAACTGCAACAATTAACATTTTGGCCCTTACCTTTCCTTTGACCTCTCTTTTCTTAGAAAAAGTGTTAAGGTCAGTTTCATTAAATCATTCAAGATATTTTTATCAAACATAATATGCTGATAACTTCATCAAAAACTTCACCTTGCACATTCCTCTGACCTTGACCTCCATCCTTTTTAATTTGTATTTTGCTTAGTTTTAAAGAAATAATTTAAGACATTTTTATGTTTAGCATGCACTTATACATAATTTGGTGAGGATTTATAATCTATATCAAATTTATTTAGATTTTAGTTTCAATTCTAAAGAAACTGTTCAAGATATTTTCAACAAACTTAATATGCTAATACAAATTTTCCTGTAGCATGAGTAATATACATCCAGTGGGACATTCATGTCCTATAGACATATTTCTAGTTTTTCAAATCATAACCTCAAAGGCTAGGTCAGGCCACAATTAGACATTAAACATTCCGAAACCTTACTGCACATCTACATGACACCACCAACCATCTCCTCAAAGATGATTAGACTACTGTGTAAAATGTAAGAGGAGTTCAGGGAAGACGGGGCTTTTTGCATAAAAAACGTCATTTTTCGACCCCCATTTGACCCCTCGGGGCAAAATCAAAATTCCAAAACCTTACTGCACATCTACATGACACCACCAACCATCTCCCCAAAGATGATTAGGCTACTCTGTAAAATGTAAGGGGAGTTCAGGGAAGACAGGGCTTTTTGCATAAAAAACATCATTTTTTGACCCCCATTTGACCCCCCGGGGCAAAATCAAATTTCCAAAACCTTACTGCACATCTACATGACACCACCAACCATCTCCCCAAAGATGATTAGGCTACTGTGTAAAATGTAAGAGAGTTCAGGGAAAACAGGGCTTTTTGCATAAAAAAAAGTCATTTTTCGACCCCCATTTGACCCCCCGGGGCAAAATCAAAATTCCAAAACCTTACTGCACATCTACATGACACCACCAACCATCTCTCCAAAGATGATTAGGCTACTGTGTAAAATGTAAGAGGAGTTCAGGGAAGACGGGGCTTTTTGCATAAAAAACGTCATTTTTTCGACCCCCATTTGACCCCCCAGGGCAAAATCAAAATTCTGAAACCTTACTGCACATCTACATGACACCACCAACCATCTCTCCAAAGATGATTAGGCTACTGTGTAAAATGTAAGAGGAGTTCAGGGAAGACGGGGCTTTTTGCATAAAAAACGTCATTTTTCGACCCCCATTTGACCCCCCGGGGCAAAATCAAAATTCCGAAACCTTACTGCACATCTACATGACACCACAAACCTTCTCCCCAAAGATGATTAGGCTACTGTGTAAAATGTAAGAGGAGTTCAGGGAAGAAAAGTGTGACAGACAGACGGACGGACGGACGGACATGAGTAACAACAATATACCCGAACTTTCTTTAGAAAGTGCGGGTATAAAAATAACCGATATATGGATTGTTGTGTGTATTTTTGGATTGATTTATGTCTTGCATAACTACATTTTTGGAGTTAAAGTAAGAAACATTAATTAAATAGCCATTTACTGATAATTTTAGCGGAAATCTTTGCGGAAGTGAATCACTCTCGTCTTGCACTTGCACCATTACAGAGATCCTAAGGAGCTGTAGCTCTCTCCCAAATAAAAAAAGGAGGGGAGGGAAACAGTATTGCAGCTATCCGACGTCATATGTGGGGGTCTTGTTAAAATAAAGCACCCTAAAGGAAAACAAAGTATCAGAAAACTTAAGGAATAAAATATCTGGTACATTAACAGTTAGCGTAAACCTAGTGTTAGGCTAAATGTACATTATATATACATGTATGTTAAGTGCACTGGCAGGTATTTATCATCTGTGTTTAACCTTAATCCTGTTCATAATAAAGATAATAGCATTTAGAAGGACCAATAAATTAAATAGGAGTCTATTGAAAACAGCAATGTAGATTCTGATAGGCCTTTAAATAAAAAAAAAAAATAGGATGACAAACAGTTTTTCATATACATTAACATACTAAAAAAAGTATGATAAGATAGCAAACTAAAGCTTTTTTTGAACAGCCAGTCACCCTGTTTAGCCAATTCAAGCTACATGTATATAACTATATCAAGAGATTGTACTCGATCTAAAAAAAGAATGATAAATGTTTCTACTGTAAAATTATTCCAAGTTATAACATGTTAACCTCATGCATTCAGTTGAAAATAGTAGAATGGCAAGGGATGTGAGAGCAAATGCTGAATTAAATAAACTTTCTGATCACTAAAATAAAAGATAGTAGCAGTTTTGTAGGTCCATGTATCCTTGAATGATATGCTTTTATCATGTTTATAGTGCTATGTAGGGAAACAAGTGATAATGAACTTAATCATACCATGTGTTAATTTAACCTAAATATCTGACTAGCAGCTAGGCTAAGGGCTATGATCTTGAATTGTCTAAGAAACAATGACGGAAAGCGACAGAAAAGCAGTACCCCACAGGGAGCTCAATATAAACTTTTCAAAAGAGGAAAATGTGGGTCATTAATGAGTATTTATAAAGAATCAAGTCTCCTCAAGGAAGCATGAAATGAAGTCAAATTTTACCCCCCCCCCCCAACCCCCACAAACAAACAAAGAGGAGAGTTAAACATTTTAAACATATCTTGTTCGGCATGATTATCAAAATAATAGGATATAATGTATCAATTCAGTTAAGGCAAGGCTTATATTGACTGAACGCGAGAGTAGGAGTGTGATAAGTAATTACCTAAATAAATAAAAAAATGAAGGTAATGATTGAGTAATAAACAAATATATATTTATACCTTTCCTCTCTAAGTATCTACTGGAAACATGATTTCATTAAACAGATTTTCTGTAACTTTAACCGAAAAATAATTTCTAAGATAATAGAATTATACCCACCCATAAGGGCATTACCTCCAGGAATAGCTAGATTGTTAGAGTCCTGCATGAGTATTTGTTTATGGTGAAATTATTACTGATAGACCTAGTGTGTTAATCACTCTGTTATTATCACTTACAGGAAAATGATGAAGTTGTATTGCCATGGTAATATCATTGATTTTAATTTACAAACTGAAGTCTTATTGTAATGGCTAAGTATGTTTATAGTATATAAAACAGGATAACATGCTAACAATGAGATACAATACTTGCAAGTTGTGTGAGTTTTGGTGGACATCTAAATGCATACAGCTTATGTTATTGTTAAACAAGTGTAGTCATTGATAATGTAATGGAGCGTGCAGTCTTATGGGATTTATACTGGAACTCACAACCAAAGAATCAGAGGTCTAGACTCAGAATAATGCATAGGACTTAAAGTCTCAGGATAATTAAGTGGTTCATTGGTGTTCAAACTCAGATAAGTGGTTCAGACTCACCTTTGAGATTAGTGGACTCAACTGTGGGATTAGTGGTTCAGACACAACTATGAGATTTGTGATTCAGACTCAACAATGAGATTAGTGGTTCAGACTCAACTATGAGATTAGTGGTTCAGACACAAGTATGAGATTAGTGATTCAGACTCAACAATGAGATTAGTGGTTCAGACTCAACTATGAGATTAGTGGTTCAGACACAAGTATGAGATTAGTGATTCAGACTCAACAATGAGATTAGTGGTTCAGACTCAACTATGAGATTAGTGGTTCAGACACAAGTATGAGATTAGTGATTCAGACTCAACAATGAGATTAGTGGTTCAGACTCAACTATGAGATTAGTGGTTCAGACACAACTATGAGATTAGTGATTCAGACTCAACAATGAGATTAGTGGTTCAGACTCAACTATGAGATTAGTGGTTCAGACACAAGTATGAGATTAGTGGTTCAGACACAACTATGAGATTAGTGATTCAGACTGAACAATGAGATTAGTGGTTCAGACTCATTTACTGGTTTGAGATTAGTGGTTCAGACACAACTATGAGATTAGTGATTCAGACTCAACAATAAGATTAGTGGTTCAGACTCAACTATGAGATTAGTGGTTCAGCCTCAACTATGATATTACTGGTTCAGCCTCAACTACTGGTATGAGATTAGTGATTCAGAAACAACTATGAGTTAAGTGGTTCAAACTTAATTATGAGGTTAGTGGTTCAGACACAACTTTGAGATTAGTGGTACAAGTGTATAATGGCTTAATGTTAACATTTTTTTCTTCAGTCCTCCGTTTTGTGTGAGCCTGCTGTGGATGGAGATGGGGGGATCCCCGCAGGGTGTCAGTGTGATAAAGACAACGTCTTATGGATCGCAGACATGAGGCTCGGTCTCATCACGGTGGACACAAATGGTACCTTCAAACAGGTGGAGGATCATCCGAGATCAAAATTGTTATTAAGTCTTAGCTTAACATGTCAGAAAGTAACTTTTATGAGTTTCATTAAAAGGCTTATTTTTAATTTTCATTAGGAAAAAAATCCATATTTATTGGGTTTTTATTTTACAATTTTACTTTTCTGCTTTTAAAGGAACAAAACTTTCGTCTTCATGCATCAAATTCAAGTAAATTGATTTCTGGTTGAATGAATAATTCCAGGTAAGAAAAATTTGCAAAATTATTTTTCTATGGTTTGATTAAATTTTGGATATTCCCATAGATTTGTAAAGAGGATAAGACAGGCCGTACAATGCAGGGCTGTAATGACTGCACCTTTGATTATGAGGGAAATCTCTGGATAACAGCGCCAGCTGGAAAAATCGCCCCTCACCCATACGAAAGGTCAATGGAGGTACATATATGTACATGATTATAGAGAGCTCTTTTTATGTATCATTATACTTCATTCACTTAGTAATAAACTAGAGGCACTGTGAGCAATGAGCTCACTAATTGATAATCCCCCTTCCCCTCCCATGTGTCCATGTTTTGCTAATACTCATGTGGGAGGCAGGGGTATCAATTATTGAGCTCTTTGCTCACAGTACCTCTAGTTTGTATATGGATCCATTTTATTAAACATAATTTTCATAAAAAAATTATTGTGATGTCACAATTGTTGATATGAAACTATACATGTGTAAAACATCAGCAATATTGTACTATAAAGGCATAAACATGTGCCAACTATTTTGTCAGATAATTTGGTGTAGAATGTGGCTCTCAATTTACCCTGAACATTTATACTTTGTTCTGATTCTATGATAAACTTTTGCTTAGTGCTTCACATCAAAGAGATCATGTGAAATTGATTCTAATGGAACAAAAAATTGGAGGATATTTTTAATCTTTTATAAAATAGTTCAATATAGAATTTAATTCACGAGTAGAACAGAATTTTTATAATAATATATTGAGTGAGAAGAACTAATACTAGTATTCTGTCTCATGAGTGAAATAAATTCTATATTCAACTACAAAACATTGAAATTTCTGTTTATTACATTTTCTTTGATTTTCCCTTAGCATCTGTCTTTTTGTGTCAGAGTGTCACAGGCTGTGAAGTCATAGTTGAGTGTTTGAGTAGTCATTGCTTCGCAATTGTGAAATTCAAAACATTGTATACATGAAGTACAATTTACAAATAATCCATGGCAGTTTTAGTCTCCATCATAATATATACTCTATCATAAGAGATCAGGGACATTTTTACAACATTCTTTGTGAAGGGAAAGAAAATTGAAAGTTTAGATACAGTTTTGATATTCTTTCACACAGTAACAAAATATTACCTTTATTCAATAAATATAGAAGTCCTTCATCTTTCAGATGTTATAAATTCCATAAAACAAACAAAAGCGTGTAGTAAATATTTTTTGTTTGTTGGTAGGAGCCGTTTGGGTCTGTTTACTGCTTCACCAATCAGAGGGAGATGTTGTTGATTGATACAGGGCTGAGGTTTCCTAACGGCATCGCTGTCTTACATTCCCCTGACGGCAGGCCGCAGACCCTGATTGTAGCCGAGACCCCCACTAAATCACTGTGGGCCTATGACATCCAGGGTCCAGGGAAAGTGGGGCAGAGGAAACTCTGGGGAAAGCTGCCAGGTAAATATAAAATGTTTCTAGTTTAATTGATGAATTTCTATGCACAGATCAGTGTCACTTAAATGATTTTAATTTAAGAATTCAGAAAAAATCCTTTTGTTTGCAGTTGTTTGAATTTGGTATATAAAATATGAATAAACACAGGCTTAAAATTTTGATAAATTTATACATTGCCAATTTTCCCATTTCATTCATAAGGACCATCAGCACACATAATTATGATTTTTTTTAGCAGAGGCTTGAAGGAGATGTTCCATATCAGGTTACAATAGAGAAGTTTTCATTGTTAGTTTTATATTTTGACAGGTGACTTGGAGGGAGGACCGGATGGTATGGACTTTGATGAGGAGAACAATCTCTTAGTGGCTCACTGGGGGTCGGGATTTCTGGAGGTGTTTGGAAGAGAGGGAGGGACCCCCCACACCCGTATCAGGTGCCCCTTCTCCAGGACTAGTAACCTCCACTTCAGGAAGGGGACGAAGGAAGTGTACGTCACCGAGCACGATTCTCACGGGCTGTGGAAGTTTGACTGGCAGAGGGCCGGCAAGTTGCAGTATTGTGACATCATATCTCTGTGAGGCAGCTTATTTTACTGTATTTATTGAGTTATCATGACTTTATCAATGGTGCTAATTCTTGCCTTAAAACACTGCTAGGTTGTTGAAAAATTAAAACAACTCTCCATTTATTGTATGATGCATTTATTGTTGCAGAAAACAATTTGTTTGCATATTTTGATATACATATGTACAATGTACATATATATGCAATATATCAACAACAGCTGCATAGTTTGGTTTAAATTGACAATCATTAAAATACAAGAAAACAAGCTTATAACTAAATGCCAAAAACAGACAGTTCTGCTTTGAAATATGTGCAATTTGTTATATCAATTAAAGTTACAATGTATTTTGAAGTTAATGGAAATGAAAATTACTTTGCTATAAGCATCAGTTCATTATAAGCACATTTTTCTGTAATTTTACGCAGGTATATCTACAAATACTTTTTGGAAAATCTTGGAAATTTTTGTTCATATTGTATTTTACACTTTGATTATTGCAAATTTATTGAAATGTTTATTTACATATTTTATAGTCATGATTTATTTTTATTTATTGTTGTATATTTCACAATTTTATTAGAAAAATTGTTAACATTCATCAGTCATCACCCCACTATTCATTCTTATTAAAATAAAATGCTTTAACAGACAATGAAGGTTTTCAAAAAAAAATTGCTATTTTAAGTGAAAACACACAATTTCAGCACACTTCTTAAACTGCCTTTCAACTTCAGGAAATTGAGCTGCACTTTTGAGAATTATTTTGTATTTAAAATGTGTTGTTTCTGATTAATAATTTGTATTAAATTAAAAATCTTTAAATTCATTTATGCTAAAAAGGTATTGAATTGTTTTAGAAGAAAGGCCTCTGTATAATCAAATACTAGTAACTGGTATATAGTATTATATAAGAATTCAAATTGTAGAAAATGACAATAATGTAATTTTGCTCTTTTTAAAAATGATAAATATTTCTCCCATTGCATATAAGAACAACAGATGTACAATTATAATGAAACTGATATGCTTATAAGTATGAACAATGCAAAAAAAAAATTACTTTCTGTTTCAGTGACGTAGCATCCTTTTTGAGAAAAGGGGGTGGGTGGGGGTGGTCAGCTTACCATATATCTGAAAAAACCTGACTAACCAAAAAACGGGGGGGGGGGGGGGAGGAAAACGAAATCCAGTCAAACCGTTCCCCATGAAAACCGTCACGGTCAAAGCGTTCCCTGATTTTGGTCAAAGCGTACCATGATTTTGGTCAAAATGTCCCCTGATTTTGGTCAAAGCGCCCCCTGACCAAAATCAGGGGACATTTTGACTAAAATCAGGGGACATTTTGACCAAAATTTGGGGGCGGTTTGGAAACTTCGTTTGTCAATAAAATATGCCAGGGGACGCTTTGACCAAAATCAGGGGGCTATTTGACCAAAATCGGGGGACGCTTTGACCAAAATCAGGGGACGGTTTCGTAGTATCATTTTTCTATAAAATATGCCAGGGGGCGCTTTGACCAAAATCAGGGGACATTTTGACCAAAATCATGGTACGCTTTGACCAAAATCAGGGAACTCTTTGACCGGGACGGTTTTAATTGGGAACGCTTTGACTGGCTCCCAGGAAAACTTCATTCAATACTTTATGAAATAAAAAGGAAATAAAAAATCACACGAAATACTGAATTTCATTAAGGCCTGGGTCAAAAATATTGATGTCACGATTCTTTGTAATTCACTTCAAGGTCAACGCCAGCATCAGTTTTCCCGAGATGAGTTATAATGTTCAAAAATTGTTTGCAGCGCAGGCATTGAGCTCTGACCCTAAAGCCGCGTTGAGAATCGTTTACCAGCAGCGAGTAAGGACCATTCCTTGGTACTTTCCATAACAAAGCTGATGACCAAGCCCATGTCCCCAGCGTGAATGGCATTGTTGATGTTGAACTTGGGAAGTGTTTCTTTTGAAAGTAAAAGGTAAACTTGACTTCTGGGGAATGAAGGACTACCTCATGCTTTCCCTCGTTTGTATGCCTTTCAGGCTTATGTCCATTTTCTTTTAGCACTGTATTATGCTCGAGAAGAAATTTAAGAGATGCGTTTTTCTTTACAGTGATCTTTTCATTCATTTCTTTTGGATATTCGTGCTTCAAAAATTTGTTTGAGTCAAAAATAAGACTTTTGCAGTTTTCTTGCCTAATGTATTTGTGCTGAACTATCACACCTTGTTTGGTGTATATTTTTACTTTGTCAGGCAATGGAATTGTTAAAACCAAATGTTCCTCTTTCTGTTCTACTCTAGAAACCTTCAGGTTCTCCGAGTGTCCTTGTAATATGACGTTGTAGTCATTTGCATTTCTTAATTTATAACTATTGGGGATATCCACATCTTTGTTGTAATTATTGATTGCCAAGGTAACCATTAATATATTTTTGTTTTTGTCATGAACAGACGGTGCTGTTACATTCAAGTCCAGGATGACCAGTGACTTCTTTAATCCTTGAAATTCAAACTCCTCTAGAAGCTGTTCAGCTAGCTGTCCAGGGTTCACATTTTCCTTGGAGATATTGTACATCAGTGTTTTATTCTTCAGTGTGAAGCCCGTTTTTCGTGTAGAAGTAACGAAGTAGAAGTCATCCACCTCCTCAGGAACAACTGTCATAAAGCTTTTGATGCTGGAACAGATTGAAGAAACAGCGAATATCATATCTCCGAGATGAAGCAT